AGTTACAGAATGTCCACCAGTTTGTGGCCAAAGAAATGTTTGTTTGTGAAACTGGAAAGCCTAACAACAAGCTTTAATCCTAAATTATGTATTAAATTACTATATTCTGGACCCCAGAAAACTCACATGTTCATTAATATATAAAACATTTGCTAATGAGCAGAAGAGCAGAGGCTCCTTTGGTAACTTGAGCTGCAGGTTAAAAGAAAGATATGATATATGTAATACATTCTGTGTAGCGTGGTGCATGCATCATTGCCAGACAGTAAGATATGCAGTCTATGCTTGAAATCTTTTAGCTAATGCTGCCCCCTGCAGTGATGAAGCAGAATGCTATACAGAACAAACTGACCAATTTCTGCAAAATTATCTAATATTCCAATCCCCTGTAATGAGCAGTAGAGAATTTGTATAAAGCATTTTGTCACCAAAATGTGTTGTTAAGTGACAATTGTGGTTACCAATATCACAATCGCATTCTTATGTGTAATATGTATATACTTTTTTAAGGAAATTACCATAGTTTATTCTCAAATAATGAAGAAACAATAAAAAATACTCTATTAAAACTGGGTAATTCAGCCCACAATTTATATTATACTGTATGACAGGAATTTAGATGTTAAAAGTGTAAGAATATTTTCCTATGTAAAACTGGAAAATGAGGCAGAATTCCTACTACCTAAAAAAAAAAGTGATACAGTCCCTCTTAGCCTCTTCTTCAAGATATCAATTTTATTCTTATGTAGCACTTTTCAATCCAGGGCGTACTCAGGGAACCTATCTACATTTTACATATCAAAATCTACAGTAAACAAAAATTAAAATATTTTTTTACCAAGTAAAAATGATAAATTGAAAGAAATATTATGAATTAAAGGCCAACTAAAACATACACTATAAGGCTTAACAAGTGTATTTCCATTATGTTCAAAAAGATGTATTCCTACAACGATGGAGTACCAATGAAATGCTGAGCCCTTAAGTATTATATTCCAAGGCTTTTCACATTAAGGGGCTTAGAGTAAGCCAAACGGTTTCTTAACACGGTCTGTTATGGACAAGGATATTACTGCACTGTTGACATTGATACATTAGGTACATTTGTTATATGTTTAATAATGTAAAACAAGCTGGTAAAACTGACTTCTATATACTTTTCACGTACAACAGCGCCACTAAAAGGGAAAAGAGTATAAAACGTATAAAAAGAGGTACTAGCGGTGTGGGAACTAAAACCCTAGCAAACCTCTATATACCAACTGGTGGTACAGTAAGAATATAATAAGAACGATATGTACAGTAAGACAGACATCAGAGTATAATTGTTACTCTGATGACGTAAAGGCAAACTACAAGGTTTAATCAAAAATAATTATGTTTTGCTGTATAGTTAAAAGCCGAGAATGCTTTTTAGACGTACTAAAGTCACGATGCAGTGTATTGCTGACACTTATTTTGAAGCTAAATATCAAACATAAGACGACAGCACAAAACGTTCTGGCCTTGCTGGCCCATAACATCTGGGTAAGACACAAAACAGCTTAAATTCTTTAAAAGACTGAAGAATACATACCATTAAATGCTCTATAATCGAAAATGTATATTGAGATGCAAAACCGAAAAGGGAACACATTGTATTTGCAATTTCACGATATTGTTCTTTAAGCAGTACCAATACCTGCAATTTTAACTAATCGTTTAATTACATAAAATAGTTCCATTATATTTTGAACACAGTCACTTTAAAACACATACAATAATTTAAATATAATCTCTGTGTTTTTTGCAGGAGCTAAAATTAAGAACATAATATTTTAGACAGTGTAAGTAAATGTTACACGATTAACAGATTCACATTTCTGTAAATGTAAGTTTAGAGAAAATGTACAGCAAAGTATGCTTTAGTGACAGTGAACACCACCAGACAGGCATAAATCGTAATTCTTACCTCATTGTTCAGATTAAGAACTTGTGCCATTTTATACGAACTTGTATATTTTTTTCTAAAACAAATTTTAAAAAGTAATATTTTACTATTTCAAAAATTTCTCCAAAGCAAACACGTTGTGGCTCCTAAACACCACATAGCCCATACGGCGCATGCACCCTACGGCAAGCTAGGAAAATCAAACCTAAGAGGTACCTTCGAATTTCGCGTTTACAAAATAATAAAAATATTCTAAAATGGAGACAAAAACCTACGTTGGTGAAATACAATCAGATTGCTCCTAGTATTTCTACTAAGAGATTAATTAAAACACACTAAAAACCCCAGTTAAAATAAGAGGTTGAAACACTTTTTACAACACAACGCTAAAATATTATCCTGTCTTTTGCGATCAACGATTTGTGTAGCAAAGTCGAATAAATAGGGTCAGTAACTAATTCCATTACATGCCAATTGTTAGTCTTATTGTCTTGATGTCAACCAACATATTAAAAATATAAATGAATGAACTTTTCTGATAATATTACTATTCTTTGTTACTACTGTGTCAGGATATTCAAAGAAACCATTTTGGTCAGCGTCAATTACCGTGATTAACCACCTGATTAAATTATATTACATGGTTCATTTACAATTTTCAAGTACAACAGCGCCACGAAAAGGGAAAGGGAATGACAGATTGTACAGATGGATGTCTAAACACACACTGTACATCTGCTTTTCCCAGGAGTAACGCGATTATTATAGAAATTGAATTTAAGAAAGCAACTCAATGATGAGAAAAAAATCTTTACACTGCTATTAGGAATCAATTTTAAGATTTTTCTGATCCCTGATGATACATATTACATACAAAAATAGATATTTAAATGCCCCAAAAAGTAATTTGTTGGCCTACATTAAATCTTAACAACGTACTTTATAATACACATTTATTTGTGGAATTGTGAATGAAACGATGAGTTTTGAGATTCATTTCACGTAACAACGGCCTTAGAAGCTTATTCGCCAATTCGGACAGGATTTGGGTAAAGCGCTTCAAAAAAAAAAATTAATAGTACTGTAGAGATGTAGGACTAATTTCAGCATCCAGAAGTTGCAATTTTAACATTAAATACTGCTAATTAGTACATATATGCTATACTTAAATATGCAGATATATGATTATATGTACAATTTGATGAGAAATATAGCCATTATTTACAGTGCTACATAATCAAAAAATATTAATGAAAACCTGTAACTTAAATAAAGCTCTGTCTATTATAATTGTTTTGTCTACATCCAACCCTATCACTTACCTTATATTTTGCTTTTAATGTTTTGTTTCATTGTACCTTTTTGTTTTCGAAACCACCTCAGAATGTTTTAAAACAAATTCCACTCCAGTTGATATGGCTAAAATTACAGTTAGACAATGTGTTATATATAGAACACAATCAAATTTACAACAGTGAAGAGATCTAAGCATTTACAGCCAACAGACGTTAAAATTTAAAAATGTTAATTCCAAAATACAAAACTATATATACAAAAATATAGAGGCTGAGTAAGAAGAGAAATCAGAAAGTTCATTTTAGTGATGTTCCATAATATGTAGGCAGTACCTGCAACAGTGTATTGTTTTAGCATTATTGTTGCAATTCCAATATTTCCCATATTAAATACCTTATTGTAATTTTATTTTATAGTACCATATTTATTGTTTCCTTTGTACTTACGCTTCAGCTAAAACATCAACACCACTCACCCTGAGCACTGGAACCCCACAAGGC